GTTGGTTGAGGGCTGGGATGCAGGAGTATTGGCTCGAGCTACTAGAGCTTTTCCATGGAAATCCATACATGCCATCCTACCATCCTTCCTACATTTTATCAAGTATAATTTGTGGTCTGGAAATATTGTGAAGTTTTGGGAACATGTTTGGGTGGGGAGCTTGTCACTAAAAGAACAATTTCCTTCTTTGTTTTCCATTTCTAATTATAAAGATGAGTTTGTGTCCACTTTTTTGACTCCATCTAATTTGGTATCTGGGTTTGAATGGGATTTGGATTTTAGGAGGGGCTTCAAGATTTGGATATGGACAATGTCTTGGCATTGCTTCAAATTTTACAAGGGGTCTTGGATTCTTCAAAATTGGTTTTTCGGATTTGGACCTTATCCTCTTTTGGTACCTTTACTTGTGCTTCTTTTTTCAAAGCTTTAGCTCAAGTGCTCAACCTTCTGATAGTCTTGGGCATCATTTTCTTGTTAAGGAAATTTGGGGTAAAGTAAACCGGTTCCTCCAAGGAGTGGGACCTTTTATTGAGAATATAGGAAACTGTGGACCCCAAATTAAGTGTATTCGTGTGACACCCTGAGATGTACTTATATTTAATTGATTAGGATCAGCTTTCCTAGTAGGATTAGTTTTATTCTATCTTATCTAGGATTAGTTTTATTTTAATCTTATCTTATATTGCCATGTAAGCATTAAAGTTCTTTTACAATTAGGAAACTATGTATATAAATTAAGGAGTGGGGCGGCTGTTTGAAGCATTCCAACCACTCTCTTCTTTCAAAGCTTCTCCCACGCCTCCTCTATCTCTCTTTTTCTCTTATCTTTTCTTCTTCTCTTTTATTTTCTGTTCAAAATCTAAAGAGTCTTTGTAGTCTTGTATGACTACTTGGTATCAGAGCCAAATTTAGGGCTTCTCATGTGAGTTTGATCCAGCCGACTACATGAGAATTGCCTAGGGCTGGAAGAATAGAGAAAGCTCCCTTCGGCTAATTCTTGGAGGTTATCTACAGCAGCAGTCCAAAGATTGGATCAGATCTTTGATAACTAGGAAGAATCAGAGGAAGAGAAGAGGATCAAGATCAGTTCTTGATCAAGACTAGAGGTGGCGATCAAAAATTCAGAAGAATTCTGGTTCAAGATCGGTTTTTTTTTCTATTCAAGACTGAAGTTGATTATCAAGATCAGAGTTTCTCAGAATTTTCTGGTAAGTTTTCAAGCCTTTCTTGAAATCAGCAGCAAGGATCTCTTCATATAAGAGGTACGATTAAGAAAAAAACCCTTCCTTTCTGCATTCCTTTTAGGGTTTAAGAGAAAACCCTCAAGTTTCAGGGCTGTTATTGCTTTAGGGAGGTAGTCAGATTTGTCTCCCTTGATTTTTTTCTTCTTTGGAAGACCCAATAGAGCTTTTTTCAACAGGACTGATACAGTTCAGTCTCAATACGCCGACTGTCACAAAAATTAGGGTTTCTGAATCAGAACCCTCTTGTTACCTGCTACAGACCTAGTAGGCCAATTGGTATAGTAATTAGGAAGCATTCTAATGGAGTTTAAAAGCCAAGGGGAGGATGTTTTTGGGGCAGGTTCAGGCAGCATGGCTGAAAACACCTTCTAGATTACAACTGTAAAGTTTGATGGTTCAAACTACATAGAGTGGGCCCAATCAGCCATGATGGCCATTGGGGGAAGAGGAAAACTGAACTATTTGTTGGGAGATGTGAAGGAACCAACCAAGGAGGATTCCACTTATACTAAGTGGATTCAGGAAAATTATTTGGTGATGACATGGTTGTGCAACTCTATGCAGCCACACATCAGCCAAAATTACTTATGGGCAAAAACAGGTAAAGAAATTTAGGATGTTGTGAAAGAAACCTACTCTCAGCCCCTTAATGTTGCTAGGTCTTATAAGCTGAAATGTGAGGTCAAAAATCTCAGATAAGGGGAGAAACAGGTCTCTGTTTATTTCTCAACCCTAAAATCCTTGTGGCATGAGATTGACCACCTTGAGACAATTGAATGGTTTGAGACAATTGAATGGGAGAGTCAGAAGGATGCATAGACTTACAGAAAGCAAATTGAAACTAACAGAGTATTTGAGTTCTTGGCTGGTCTAAATTCTGAATATGATATTGTAAGACAACAGCCACTGACAAGAGATAGTGTGACTCTATCTCAAGCCTATTCCCTAGTGCACAGTGAAGAGACTAGGATAAAGGTTATGTTACAGCAACAGCCTTTCGAATCTGCCCTGACAGTAGTTAAACCCAAGCCAGGGGGAGATAAGGAAAGGGATATGAAGAAAGAGGCTAAAAAGGACCTAGTTTGTGAACATTGCAAGAAACCTAAACACAGCAAAGACACTTGTTGGAAGTTGCATCCACATCTAGTTCTAGCAAAACTCAGAAACAAAAAGGGTAATGCCAATATGGCTGTCAACACTGATAGTGCAACCTCAACGGCTTCAAGAGATACCCCTCTAGATACCCTAGCTGCTGTCCGAGCTGCTCTGACACAATTAGAAAGTGAAGTCAGTAACCCAGTATCATCTCCTTAGCCATCATCAGCTCCTTCAACCCCATCTTTTGCTCAATCAGGTAATCGGGCCTCAACTTATCATGCTTCAGCTCCAGGTAATACAAAACATTCTTGGATAATAGATTCAGGAGCATCTGACCATATGACTAGCTTGCCATCACTTTTCTCTACTTATCTTCTGGTAAAGACAGTGTCAATTGCTGATGGATCCCTTGTTCCTATTTCTGGCAAAGGAGACATCAAGTTGTTTGATGCAATTTCCCTATCCTCCGTCCTGCATGTTCCTAAGCTTAATACTAACTTGCTCTCAGTTAGTAGTATTACAAAAAGGCAGAATTGTCCAGTAACCTTTTCTCCTGATCGATGTGTTTTTCAGGATTTTGAAACAAGGAAGGTGATTGGGATTGGCCGTGAGACAAATGGAATCTACCTACTTGGAGGAAGTGCTCATCAGGAAGATGGTGAAACTAAGAAATCCTTTGTTTCTCAGTCTGTTGATCAGGTGATGCTTTGGCATAATAGATTGGGCCATTTATCCTTTCAAGCTTTGAAAAGTTTGTTTCCCAGTATATTTGAATCTGTCCAGATGGCTAGTTTGAAATGTGAAAGTTGTGAGCTTGCAAAACATTATAGGACTACATATTCATTAAGTAATAACAGAAGCAATATTCCTTTTGAAATTGTGCACACTGATGTTTGGGGACCCTATCATACCAGTGCCATGGGGGGGTACAGATATTTCCTATTATTTGTTGATGATTACACTCGATTTCCTTGGGTTTACCTTATGCGTTCTCGAGATGAGGTTCCAGCATTAACCCAGATCTTTCATCAAATGATTTTAACCCAATTCAGGGTCAAAATTAAGATTTTTAGATCCGATAATGCAAAAGAATATTTTGCAAACCCATTAGCCTCCTATATGCTTGATCATGGGATTATCCATCAGAGTACCTGCCCACATACACCAACCAGAATGGGGTTGCTGAAAGAAAGAATAGACACATATTGGAGGTAGCCAGAGGCATTATGTTTACCTCAAATGTGCCTATACGTTTCTGGGGGGATGCTGTTCTTACAACTGTTTATCTCATCAATCGGATTCCCTTACGGGTTCTTGACATGAAAACTCGATTTACCCTTTTATACCTTGATAAAAAATTGTTTACCATTCCCCTCAAAACCTTTGGGTGCACTTGCTTCGTTCAAATCCTTGGCTCTCATCGTTCCAAATTTGATCCCAAGGCCTCCAAATGTATTTTCCTTGGTTATGCCCAAACTCAAAAGGGATATTGCTGTTATGAACCGACTTCTGGAAAAAGATTTGTCTCAATGGATGTCACCTTCTTTGAGGATAAACCCTATTATCCAAGGGTTTCTCCTCAGGGGGAGAATAATGAAGCCGGGAGTAGCTCATTGGAAGTAACTTTACCAATCCCATTAAGTGAAGGATGTAATGGGGAAGGATGTCAAAGGTGCAAGGATGTGAGAGTCTATCACAGACGATGGAGACAGGTTGATTTCGGACATCAGCAGTGTAGGTTAGTCCCAGCCCCCTCTACAGCTCCAGATCCCGATACCACAGTAGCTAGTCCCAGTTCCTTTTGCAGATCCAGATCCAGGTACCACTGTAGCCCCAGTTTCTTCTACAGATCCAGATCCAAGTACCACAGATACTACAGATGAGAGACATCCAACCATGGAGCCTTCACCTCCATTCAGTGACCTTGATCTCCCCATAGCAGTCCGTAAAGGCAAACATCGTTGCACCACAACTCACTTCATTTCTCAGTCCCTATCATATGATCATTTGTCTCCCTCCTACAAGTCTTTTCTCGCATCCATTGCTGATATTCCCATTCTCAGAACAATACAGGAAGCATTGAAAGTACCAGAATGGAAAGATGCAATAAAAGTATAAATGGATGCCCTCATCAGAAACAATACCTAGGAGATAGTTGATCAGCCTAAAGGAAAGAAACCGGTTGGATGTAGATGGGTATTCACTGTGAAACATAATGCTGATAGTTCTGTTGAAAAGTATAAGGCCCGATTAGTTGCAAAAGGATTTACTCAGACATATGGTATTGACTACTTAGAAACTTTTGCACCAATAGCAAAGATGATCACTATCAGAGTACTATTATCTCTTGCAGCTAGTTACTCTTGGCCATTGTATCAGATGGATGTTAAAAACGCCTTTCTCATTGGAGACTTGCAGGAAGAAGTTTACATGTAGTTGCCTCCAGGATTTTATGGTACGGAGATAGGAAAGGTTTGTTGGTTGAACAAAGCTCTATATGAACTAAACAGTCCCCCAGAGCATGGTTTGGCAGATTTAGACGAGCCCTTGATAGGTTCGGATATGTGCAGGCTCAGTCAGACCACACCTTGTTTATTAAGAGAGTGGATTCCTCCGTAACCTTGCTTGCCGTGTATGTGGACGATATTGTAGTAACAGGGAGTGATACTAGTGAAATTGAGTCTCTTAAGCAACTACTTCATCAAGAGTTTGAGGTAAAAGGTCTGGGGGAACTATGATACTTCTTGGGCATTGAGGTAGCTAGACCCAAGCATGGGATTTTTGTCTCTCAACAAAAGTATGTTCTTGATCTGCTAGAAGAAACAAGAAAGTTGGGAGTTAAGCCTACAGACACACCTATTGAACAGAACCACAAGATTAGTGCAGAGGGTGGAGAGCCTATTGAAGATAAAGCTATGTTCCAATGGTTAGTTGGAAAGCTTCTCTACCTTTGCTTCACATGACCTGACATCAGTTATGCAGTCAGTGTAGTTAGTTAGTATATGCACTCTCCTAGAACTACTCACCTCCTTGCGGTTGAAAGGATATTAGCATATTTGAAGAGGTCCCCAGGTAGAGGCATTTTGTTTAAGAAAAATGACCACATGAAGATAGAAGTCTACACAGATGCTGATTGGGCTGGGTGTGTTGATGACTGAAGATCTACCTCTGGATATTGTGCCTTTGTAGGAGGTAATCTAGTCTCTTGGAAGAGTAAGAAACAAAGTGTTGTTTCTCGTTCAAGTGCTGAAACTGAATATAGGTCCATGGCAAATGGTGTGGCTGAGATTCTATGGTTGAGATCATTACTTGAGGAATTAGGTATTGTTTATGAGAAACCCCTAATGTTGTACTGTGATAATTAGGCTGCCATCAATATAGCCCATAATCCAGTACAACACGACAAAACTAAGCATATTGAAGTGTAACGGCATTTTATCAGAGAAAGGGTTACATCTCAAGAAGGATGCCTTCCCTACATCGCCTCCGACATGCAGCTTGCAGACCTTCTCACCAAGGCTATTTCAAGAAAGAAGTTAGAAGAAGATCTATGCAAGTTGGGAATGACAAATATCTACTACCCAACTTGAGGGGGAGTGTAGAAAACTGTGGACCCCACATTAAGTGTATTCGTGTGACACCCTGAGATGTACTTAGATTTAATTGATTAGGATCAGCTTTCCTACTAGGATTAGTTTTATTCTATTTTATCTAGGATTAGTTTTATTTTAATCTTATATTATATTGCCATGTAAGCATTAAAGTTTTTTTACAATTAGGAAACTATGTATATAAATTAAGGAGTGGGGCGGCTGTTTGAAGCATTCCAACCACTCTCTTCTTTCAAAGCTTCTCCCACGAGTTCTCCTCCTCTATCTCTCTTCTTCTCTTCTTCTCTTTTCTTCTTTTCTTTTTTTTTCTGTTCAAAATCTAAAGAGTCTATGTAGTCTTGTACGACTACTGAGAAGATCCAGAATCCACTTCCTCCCTTTTCCAACCACTCCACTACCAAATTTGAATCTCCTATAATCAGTTTGCTCACACTCATATCTTTTGCCTTTTGCACCCCTTCCAAGACAGCCAGAACCTCAGCCCTTAATGAGTCTCTCACACCATTTGGATTTGAGAATTACCCAATAACCTTTCCATCCTTATTCCTAAACACACCACCATGTAGGTCTGACAACAGTCTTATTACAGTCTGAACTAGCCATAGCCTTCCAGTTATTCATAATATCAACTGAAGAGAAATTAACAAAAAGCTCCAAAGTCTTCACCCAATGAACCACTCTAAACAGAATGGTCTCAATAATTCCTTTGTTTCTTTTTTCCTTTTCAGAGAAAATTCTGGAATTTCGTAAGCTGTATTCTTTCCCATTTGGACACTCAATAAGTTGAACTTTGATGGTAGTAGTGAAGGAAATCCTGGCCCTTCTGCTATGTTTGGTTTGAAGGTAGGGAAACCTTGTATAGATTTCCCTACCTTTTCCTTTCCTTTTCTCTATCTTTTCCTTCAAACCAAGCATGCCTTCAGGTATCGGAGGAGATTCTAGAAATGAGGAAGGAAAAGTTATTGCTTTGTTTTGAGGCCCAATTAGTGTAGGAGGCTCACTTCGAGTTGAGATACTGGGCTGTTTTGGAAGGTGCAAAAAGGGAAAAGGAGCTGAATACTAGCAAGTTGATCATTGAAGGCGATTCAAAATTTGTAGTAGGCTGGTTAGAGGAGGATGATGGGATGTGGGGTTACATTAATGAAAGAAGGAAACTTAAGTGGCTGACGCAGGGTATGGAAGTGACATTGCAGTGGGTTAAAAGAAGTGCTAATTCCTTTTTAGATGCACTTGTTAAGCAAGGGGTGGGAAGGGATCAAATGTTTTGGGCTATTGTAATCCTGGTTCTCTATGTGGGGAGAGTTGAAGAGAGTTTATCTCTCTCTGCACCTTTCTGTACTCTTATCTTCTTTCTTAATTCTAATAAAATGTTTCTATTATTGAGAAAAAAAAAACTTCAAGGCAGAACAATTTTACTTGATAATCAATGCTACATTGGAAAAAGCAACAGATATATTAATAATGTTGATGCATTTTTTACCTTGGTAGATTTGCTGCATTGAAGTTGTATTGGGATTTATTGATGCTCGAAACATTTATGGCTTTTATGAATGCATTTTACTTGCAATTGTAGTGGAGATTTCTGTGAGGGATCTTTGGGTATAATTCTAGTTGGTGCATTTACTAACTTTGACCTTTATGATGCATGTTTGGGTCCGACTCTGCTGCTTGGACGTGATGTACAGGGAGTAAGCCTCATATTCCTTTTTGTTCAATAATATTTTTTGCGACTCATTTTTACTTTTGCAGAATATCATGACTTCAATATCGCAGGCTGCTCTAAATCAAAGCTTAATCACTGTCTGTCCAGCCTATTTTTCATGATGGCATGAAAGAGTGGAGCTGTTGCAAGAAGAGAAGCCATGACTTTAGCTTGTTTTTAGCACTTCCTGGGTATGTGCAATACTTTCTTCTGAGTTAAACTTTATGCTGGAAATGTAACTTCCTTTTTTTCTGTATGGAATTAATTTTGGCACAGTTTATACATAATGGAAATATTATATCTTTGAGCAACTTTATGATGTAGGGTGAAAAGAAGAAAGACCAAGTAGGGTGTATATGGTGGGCAAAGAAAGGGAATTAAGGATCTGAACTATGAGAGAGAGAGAGAGAGAGAGAGATTTTACTAGTTAGCTCTAGTTAGCAACATCTTATTAATTCATGATAAAAGAATGGAGTGACATACAAGAAGTTGTGCCATGCACCCCACAGAGACCCAGAATATCCTCAGATATCTCATCATGCAATTTCCATTTCTATTATGGACAAACGCCAGGATCAAATTCCCTTGCAATTATAAACTGTCCCTGTTTACCCCTTGTTTAGCCAAAACATCCACTAAGGTGTACAATCTTTATGTCCAATAAAATTGAATTCTCAGTTTTCTAGCTTAGTACCTTCTCTCATTGTATGTCTGTGCTGCCACTATCCTGGATTATTATGTTCAAACCAGCCCATCATTACTTGAGAATTCCTTCAACTGTGAGATTTTTTTTCTTGATAAATGGATGATGTATTCATCCAGTTGGTGTACAAGAACCAACTATTTTGCGCGCATGCACACACACACACACACACCCAACCATTGATCTGAGTTCTTGAATTCAGTGTGAGTGGCATGGCATACCATGGCCCATCCATTAGTTCTGCATTCAGATGCTTCAATCTTTGGATGATGTATTCATCCAGTTGGTGTACAAGAACCAACTATTTTGCGCGCATGACACACCCAACCATTGATCTGAGTTCTTGAATTCAGGTGAGTGGCATGGCATACCATGGCCCATCCATTGGTTCTGCATTCAGATGCTTCAATCTTTGGTGTGTAGCATGGTAAGTTTTAATATTTTTATGGAAGTAACATGCTAACCTCTATGAGGAACTCAATCTGTAGACATCTTTGTGAAGGTAAATCAATTTGTTTATGCATATGGTTGCTAATAACTGACATTATGACCCTTTTGCATGAATACTCCCAGTAGGGGATTTCTTTTTAAGTTGATATTTTTAAGATCTACATATATGTGAGCACCAATTGATTAGATATTTCTTCTTATTATTATGAAGATGTAAAACAGGTAAACACACGACTGAGAAACCAGTGATAACAAAAGCTGCCCCTAGTCCGAGTAAGCCAGTGTCTGTTTCAACTCCAACAAATGATGCATCATCAAAACTAACTTGTTTGAGATGCAAACAGGGTTTCTTTTGCTCGGAACATGGTATTGTCATTTTGTCCATTGTTGACTTTATAAAGAGATCCTCTATTTTATTATACCTAGTAGTATGAATTAAGTTATGCTGGAAGGACAGTGAGAAGCCATCTCCTTCCTATGCTACACACCCAGGTAATCTGGAACCATGGTCTGGTACACAAGCCAATTGCATCCTACTGACGCATAATAACTGTCCTGATACGGGTGGTTCAGATTTTGCACAAGTGTCCAGTGATTTATATTATGCTCTGATCACTTTTTGATTAGAATATAAATTCTAAGAGTTGATGAGAACTTGGTTTTAAAAACCTTTTCAGGTTCACAAGTCAAAGTGGGCAATCTGAAACCAGCTGTTAATGATGCAGTCCCGCCTGCTGAGATCAATTCAGACGTTGAAAAATATCCTCCAGCTCCAGCAAAGAAGATTATTGATCTGAATCAGCCGCAGACATGCAAAAATAAGGGATGTGGTAAGACCTTCAAAGAAAAGGATAACCACGATAGCGCATGCAGTTACCACCCTGGACCTGCTATTTTTCATGATCGGATGAGAGGGGTAATACTTTTTCTCCTTTTGATTTTGTTCTGCATTTACCATAGCCTCTTATTTTTTTAGTTCCTCTATTATGTTCTTCTGTTACTTAAAGAATATTGATGCATTCCCTTCTCTCATGATTTGCAGTGGAAATGCTGTGATGTTCATGTGAAAGAATTTGATGAGTTCATGGACATACCTCCTTGCACGAAGGGCTGGCACAATGCTGATCCAGTGTCATAATCAACTATCTACCTGAAGATGAAGCTGAATTTTTCCGAGTCATGCTCTACATATATTTGATAAATTGGTCAAAAATATGATGTCGCTGTCTGTTGAACTGTATCCTCTTCGTATCTAATTGTTGTATGCATCCCAAAATTAGATAGATGTTCAACTCTTCTTAGCATGGACACGAGTTGTGCAATGGATGCTTTTTTTAGCAAGGTTTCTTTGTTCCACTAAGTCCTTAAATTTGCGCTGTAGTTTGTGAAGTTTGATTTCTTACTGCATGATTTTAATTTTGATGATTTTTTTGGAAAGTTGTGGTATTTGGTAATGACCAAAATGGAAGTAGAGTGTCAACGATATTTCAAATTTGAGATTTGATGTAATCGCATCAAATTCAAATATGACATGATCAGATTTAATAAATATTTAAGTTCAATTGATTTAAATATTTTAGTTAATTCATATATATAAATATTTATTACATAAAACAATTAATTTGTCAAATTCAAATTGAGTCGAATATTTAATTATTTATTCAGAGTGTTAATTCAGTATTCATTGGATATTAAACTTTCTAATCAAATTTGAATTTGGATATTGATTGATTTGATTTGAATTCGATTACACTTCTTGATGGAAATCCTAAATTTTTTAATGAATTTATTTAAAACAATTATGAATTTTTCCTGAAATTATTGTCATATATTTAATTTAAAATTTAGCATATTCTATCAAGCCTGTAAATAAGTAGGGTGAAAGACTTGGAACATACCCTGAGGTTTTGCAGTTGGACTTGAAAGACATTGGTGATGTTTGACATCGATGTCGTTGCTCCAGAAAATGGTGGCACATCAATGTCACGTTGGAAAAAGCGTAGCTCCAGAAAATGGTAATATGTTTGGAACCGTTTTTCCATAAAAAATGTTGCCCCAAACTACGCCTTAGAAATTGAGAAGGCATGGTCTGGGGAAATGCTGAATTTGACGTTTTCTCATTTTGGAGCTTGTTGTTGCCAACGGTAACATGATGTGGCATCCAATGTGTATTATATTTGAATTGATAAAATGTTTCTCCTCTTTTAACGAATCCTAAAACATTTTCTTCTACGTTTTCAGCTGTTCAAGGTCGAATGCCTTGTCTTCCTTTCCCAGTCATCGGAAGTCTACCTGTGTAACCAGTCACCGGAGAATCAACCTTGTCGTCGAAGGTGTAAAGTTCTACCTTCTGTTCAATCACCGGAGGTCTAGAGTTCTTTTTTCATTCATCAGAGTATACCTTCTGTCCATTCGCATTTCTCCTCAAACTCCTTGTCTCTGTCCATCGCCAGTTCAAGCTCTGTCCTATCATTTGGGTTTTGCATTTGTTCTGTTCATTCTCATATTTCTCATTTGGGTTTTGCATTTTTGTTCTATTCGTGCTCATATTTCTCATTTGGGTTTTATAGTGTTTGGGTTTGATCCACATGTTTGGTTCGGTTGTTGATTTTTCTATTTGGTATCCGAAAACTCCATTTAAAAGCGGATTCACTGAACATAGAGCAATAAAAAACGCCTATTGGAATGAAGTGGTGATTTGGTATTTTGGGGAAGGGCTGCCCCATGATTTGTGCGATAACCCATCGGCTATCTCTTTCTCAATTTTGCCAAGTCAAGAGAAAAAAAAGCTCAATAAAATCCAACTCAACCTCGCCTATGATCACCCGGTGTCATAAAAGAGGTGACAAACAAAATTTTGAGGTAATTGGTCAAAACTCTTTCTTACTATGTCTTTCCCGTGTCATAGATTTCCCTTTTCAATATAATATCATCAAAATATAAAAGAATCATATTTTCAGGGGATGTTTAAGAATCAGGGTAAAACTAAGGGGTGGTTTTGATTCTTGCTATTCCTGGTTGTGTGTTTGTGTCCGTTGTTGACGTTGAGTCATCTAGTTCTAGCTTTTGTTCCTATCTATACGCTGTTTGCTTTGTTGGAAGACTAGATTTTGAGAATATATGCCATTTCTAAGGGTTTTTTTAGGTCTTTTTACAGTTCATTCTACCTGATAATTTATTTATTAAATCTCTAAATGTATTTATCTCCAACCCTCTCTAAACCGAGAATCTTTTCTGTTAGACCATCACAGTATAAGTTTGGAAAGATCGGCTTCCATCAAAGCAAACCTGTGCCCATATCGTTCTAACAGCCTTTTTTAACCTTGCATTGGAAATATCTTCCCATAAAATAAAGTATGTAAGTATGGAGTTATTCTTAATATAAGGCAATAAAGGCTGCTTGAACGGGCTTTGCCCTGATTGAAGCCGAATTCGAGTTTGGACTGAACTCAAATTACCCAGCCCCATTATTAAAAATGGCTTTCTTGCTAAAATATAATTAAATAATGCGAAGTTAGCCAGCTCTATGAATTTCTCTCTTTATATGAAATGAATCGACCATGATACAAAGTGCATCTTAATATCTCAAGGCTCAGGCTGAAAATTGAAATAAGAAGAATTCACTTAGCCACGCTTAGGACGGTCAAAGGATCGGGTGGAATCGTCGGAAATGATGTAACCGTTTCAGTATTTCAAGGTATAAAGCATGGTTTTTAAAATCAATCCAAAGACCGAACTGGTCAGGGGTCTGGTTATCGGGTCGAACAGTCCAATCGTTCAAACTGAATGGTTGGCTGTTCTGACAAAAAAATTAAAAAAATGAAAATAGGTCAAAACGGTTCGAAAGGTTCGAATAGTTAATCGCCCGGTTTAATGATTTGCTGACCAAAATCAACCATTTTTGTGGAGATTCCGATTTTAGAGAAAACCGGAACTGGTCACCTGACCGGTTCCTGGTTTTTCCAGTCCGACTGTCCGATCTGGTCCGATTTTGAAAACCATGATATAAAATTTTCGTATCATATCATCAAGGCCTTGATATACCAAATAAAGGGTTTTTAGGGTTTAACCCATTTCCAAGGGATAGGCCTACCTGAGTCCGACCCTGACCAAATTTAAAAAAGAAACTAAATCAGGAAAAAAAATGATATGAATTTGAAACACCCAATATGCATGTTCATGCATATTAGATATATCTATGATTTTAACCTTGCATATTCTAATTTTTAGTTGTTTTTAACCAATTTAATTAATAGAACTGGTATCTTACAAAGTTTAATACCTGTATCTTTTTAATGGTAAAACATACCACGGGTTCTCATAAATTCAATTGATTTAAACTTACTTAAAATTTTCAAATAGGCTTAATTGGGCTGAACTAATGGATTTTCCTGCTTTATGAACCTCTTTTAATATTCTAAAAATCTTATTTTATCCATCTTCATTTTCTTCCTCCCCAATTAAGAACCAAAAAACAACTAACGGTTTTTTCGTCACCAATGCTCCTCTAGTTAAAGAGGATGAAAACATAAGTTAAAATGGTTTGGAGGTCCTGAGAAAAGTTGAACATGAAGAAAATGAGAGTCTCCATTCCAAACCACCCCACTTATTCAATTTCAACCGAAATCTATGATCAGCTCATTTAGCAGAATTCACATCTGCACCCCACTAATGGCGCCCCACAGATGTCCTATAGCATATCCCAACCCTGTACTGGGATTATTTCCCACTGACAATTTCAGGAAATGTTCCCCATTGCATGCTAATATGTGCATGTGAGCGTTTGTGGGGTGTACATATAAAAGGGGTATGGTATACATCACCCCATTTGTTCTTTTTTTGTTGAAAGTTGTTTGATCAAGAACGATAAATTAGACATCCTGTTGTTACTTTTATTTTTAGTTTTTCAATTTGTGAGATGTTCGATGAGAGTAATTATGTCTTTTATCTTTTGACATTTCAATTTAGGGCAAATTTTTTAAAATACCTCTATAGTTTAGGAAATCAATTAATTCTATCTCTATTATTTGCATATTGTCTTAAAGTATTCTTTAGTTTTTTTGACAATTAACTAGTTTTACACTTGCCCTTAGTGTCTATTAGTATTCCATCACAATCCGTATATACGTGACACCACATGATATATAAAATTTTTTAAAAACCCCATATTACCTTTTTGTGAGCAACGGTTAAACCCATACTCAGTGAAATTGTGAATTATAAAATTGTGGCAGGTCCAGTGAATGGTTCTGCGACCACAATGCCACTCCACATTTGTCGGAAAATTATGCTCATTTGTGAACCTAAAAGAGCATAGCATATCACAAATTTTATTTGGTTACTATTTTTATTATGAAGAATATTCTTGTGGAAGTCATTGGAAACATACTATCCAGGCTTGGAGCTGCTAGAGATGTGGTAATTGCATCTACAACTTACCGGAAGTGGTGAGAAGCCTGTTGGAATCACCTTCACACACTTTCATTCAACTCCATTGACTGGCCAATAGATTGGAGATCCTTATAACCCAAATAGTATTCCATACAAATGGTTTATAGTGCTATGATGTGGATGAATTCTCAGCTAATCCTTGCCTAACTTATGTATACTCAGGAAACCTTATGTCATTTGCTCTATAATGTCTGGACAATCCCAAATGTTAACATTTTCGAAAAGTGTGGTAGGTAGAAACTATAAGTGTTTGGTATTGGCTCATAATTCTATCACAGATGTTAAAATAACTTATCAGAAATTCCTATGCCTGAAATCTGTCATTAAGTTATGTCAATATCTTAGGTTTAGATTTGAGCCTTCTTCTCAATGTCTGTCCAAAGATTGAGGTGTTGATTCTTATCATTCCGGAGATTACAATGTTATCACAGATGTTAAAATAACTTACCAGAAATTCCTATGCCTGAAATCTCTGTCATTAAGTTATGTCAATATCTTAGGTTTAGATTTGAGCCTTCTTCTCAATGTCTGTCCAAAGATTGAGGTGTTGGTTCTTATCATTCCGGAGATTACAATGTTAACACCTCCATGGCTCTGTGAAACTACCACTAGCCTCCGATCAACTCTTCTGGCCGGTAGTACCACTGTACCCGTACCTTCCGTTCCCTCTATTGTCTAATTAAATCTTCTACACTTTGGCGACGTAATGGGGTTTCAATGAGTCCGAATGCCTCATCAAAATGCAGTCCCAAACTACAATGAAGAGTGCAAAGGTTAAGCAAAAATTCACAAATGGAAAGGGAGAAGGCGAATATCTGAAATCTTTGACAATGAAGAAAAATTCAAGAGTCCTTCTCTGATGGGGCGTGCCTACCTCTGATGATGATCTTGTTGGTGCCTTTGATTGTTGTGTAAGAATCTATTGCTCTTCTTGGTGTCTGACCTTTAGCCATGGACTGAGAGGGAAGAAA